TAGAACAAGATTTACTTGAAATATTGTAAAAGCTTGATGCGTAAAAGATATTCAAGTAGACTGTAAACCTCGACAAAAAATTATACGAATAGAAAACTCGTTCTGTGAAATAAACCAGAACGAGAGTGTTGTGAATACGCCAGGACCAGTGCGGAAAATTCATTATTTAGTAATACAGACAGCATAAGATATTCAAATGATACTGTGTTGATGACAAACTCAGAAAAGCAACTAAAAATTCTCGCAGACAAGATAGTATAGGTAATCAAGAGGAGACAAGTAAACGCTAGTAAGAAGATGCCATATCCTGGATGTCTCCAGAATTCTCTTTAAACCAAATCAAGTAACTTACGCCCGATGATATTGCCTAGTATGCTTTTGGGATAGACCACCGCTGTTGCAGTGTATACAGAAGACGTATATGAGGATAAATGGTCATAAAATAGTGCAATTTAACTGTCAGTGGCGCGTTTAGGCGAACCACTAGACCGAACCAATATGACATAAACATGCTCTAAAATATTACCGAGTGACCACCAACCTGCATGGTACCTTATTAATAAAGAGGTCCCATAGCTTCCTGGCGCCTGTATCACATCCTATTTCTACCATCGGCCGCAATCACCTGGACCAGTAACTCTTACCACACATTGTCTGTCCCCTCCGATCCATTTGCTGATGTGACGATCCCGGATGAGGCACTGTGTTCGGTGTCTTGGTGCTAAAAGTGGCACGCTGGTGGGTCCTCTACTCGCATATCCCATGTAAGCTAAAGCATCTTAAATTGGCCTGTAGACATGCATCATGTACTGAATGTGCATGAAGATTGTTATGTAGGAATAAATTGTCGCTGCCGACACTTGAGTTTGAACATAGATCGCCAGTGAGTAAACACAGGCGATCCCATTATTGAATTAAGTAGACCACGTGACCATAGAGGAAACGCATATATGCGTGTCTAACTGATCTGCATTTCTAGTCTGTCCACTATTACTATTCGGATCTCTATTTCTAGTCTATCCTCTATACTATTCGGATCTCTATTTCTAGTCTATTCTCTATACTATTCGGATCACTATTTCTATTCTATCCTCTATTACTATACGTATTACTACTAGGGCAAGTACTATTAATGACAGTGCTATTCGAAAGCGTCTGACACCAACATTGTTCAACGGCGTACTTTAGTTGCATCTGTAATTACAAAGTCTCTACTAAAACGAACATTACAAAAGTAACAACGAGTATTTGTTGGAATTACAAACGTGGCCACGAGTGTTCGTTGACATCACAAAAAAAAAAGATTCTTGAAATAATCCAAAAATAATCGGCACTGTTATCTGTTCTGACCAGGCATCACTACTCCAATCACATTAATGCCGCTGTATTGTAGTTTTCCTACGCCCTATCTATAAATATGTTCATGGTAAATGCTCATCAGAATATTTACCATGAGTATCTTGAAATCATGAATGTAAGCGCAATGCTAGATTGGCTGTTAGGTCTCGTCATTTTACTACTGAAATTGCTATCTGTGACAGTTCTATGATAATAGTTTCTTCTCTCGCTTTTTCTGTCAGTGGAACTCTCTTCCGGCTTCTTGCTTTCCTGTCAACTAGGGTCTTACGATATTTAACGTCAATTTTCTTTTTCAAATTTGTACTTTGATTGTCCTATCTCTTCAAAAAGTTTTCCCATATTCTCTCACTCCCAGTAACCCATTATTGGGTTTTGTGGCTTTATGGCCGTGCTAGGAGTGAAATGATTTTTTTTAATTAAATCGCTGTCACTTTTTAAACCAGAAGCCTCAATTCACGATCAGTAAGGGGTATGACTTGTCACTCCTTTGAGAAATTTTTCAGCCGTCTGATGCTCACTAACAAACAACTTGAAATTCCGGTATGTCACATCAACATGGCAAGGGCAACGCCACTCTTGTTCATATTGATTCACCACCATACTGGTGTGAACTTTTCCTTCAAGTTTAACTTGAAGGAAAAGTTCACACCAGTATGTTGGTGAACCAATCATGGTAAATGTTCTGATATGTTGACGCCACATCACATTATCATGTTCCATTTGGCACCTCAGTGTTATTGTAAATACAAACTATCTTTGTATTTACGTTTAACTGAAATGAGCAAAGGAGTTTATAAATAAGTTGGAAATAAGGCCTCTGTATTGAAGTTCTTTTCATCTAACAATATTCCAAGATTGCTTTAAATGTAATACCCCATTCGCAATACACTTGAAAATTTCACGGCTTTGCTATTTGAATATTTTGAGGAGTCGTAATTATTAATTTAATTAATGAAATACAATTCACGACTATTAAATACCCATTGAAATTCCTTTAATGCCTCGTTAAAGACTTGAACTCAACAACGAAATATTAAAACAAGTCATAAATAAATTTGCAGGTTAAGAGATTACAAATGAAAACATTAAGAATTAACATTTTTTCATTTCATTGAAGCAGACGTTAAACATATAAGAACATTATCGCTTCCTCTATCTTTTTGCTAAAATCAAAATGCGTCTTTCATATATCTTTTCTATAGTCTACATTTGCAGTCAGACAGGAATTGTCTATTGTTCACCTGAAGTAAAGTGTAGACATACTCGATTTGAGTTCGTAGTCATTGTGAAATTCACATCACTTACAGTAGCTGCATATAGTATCTGCTTCTCCATAACAATGTAAAGCTATGCAAATCAAATTTTTCCTTACCCTAAACTGTTTACCAACCAAGACTGAATCGCCAAAAATTCACTACAATTTAACCCATAGCTGGAGAGAGAATGGACAATTTCATGCCTTTCCCAAGTGAAGGTAATGAACTCATCAGTTTTCATTACAATCCATTGCACCACCCTCACATCGAAGCATACAAGCGGCCACTCATTTAACTGCTGACAAGTTTCGACATTGTTTAACTGAGCTGATCGATCGAGAAAAGTATTGTACTGTGTTTTTTATGCTTGTCCACTACACCAGAAGACGATGTTCGTGTTAGTGCAGAAAAGGTTGAAGCAGCCTTGCAAAATGACGTTTGACATGAATGTTCAAATCTAAGACATTGTATTCTTCCATGCGGAAAATTTACACCTACAGACAGTCATCGACGATTATAATTCGTTTACAGACAGTGGAATTTAGCAGATTTAGTCTCTGGGGAAAATTCAAAGCCAATGATGATACCTTTGTAAGAAGAAGAAAAAAAAACGGCAATTTGTAAGTGAGAAAGGTGTAATGCTATTTACAGTATCTTTTGTAGAAGGAAAACAAAACAAGCGGAAGCTATAATGCTCGGAGTGGCCTTTGTATGTATGTATGTGCGTATGTACTGAATTTGTACACGTTGAGAAATATAGCCAAAGTCGAGTGCAATACATTCACGAGATACGAGTGGGCGTATCTCAATCTAATTCTCGACTCGGATTGCTGCCAGAAACAATTCTGCACAGACCGATCGCAGAAAAGCGTCTGTAATTTCTCAAATAATTCTGCTTATGGTAATTCCAACAAATAAGACGGTTCTACAAGGCGAGGGAATAAATAATACATTTTAGTTGAACGACAATAAAAAAAAAATCAACGTAGATTGTCTTTGATTTTTTTTTTCTTTTTACAGATGTTTGAAACAGACGAAAATAGGTTTGAATAGCAATGGCGATTGATGTAGTCACCAAAATAGCGGGAAAAGGATTGGCTCTCACGATAAGTTCTAAAAAGAAAGGCCGGCCGCGTTGTATACATTTGCCTCAGAGCGATGCTCATTTCGTAATCTCTCAGACTGTTGCCAATGCTATGATATCTGATTTTCTCTGCTAGTCTGTAACAAAAGTAATCGTGCATACTTTTAAAATTTGTAAACACACACGACATATATTTCTTGCTTGTGGATCTCTTTTACGGCTTCTTGCTTTCCAGTCAACCTTGATCATCAAAGATTTAAATGCAAAGACAATCGTTATCTTCTGTCTTCTTAAATCCACGTTCTTTTATTGTTCTCTCTCCTTAATAACGTTTTACTTTTAAACATATTCTCTAGCACTCAGTAACCTCCATTGGGTCTTAGTGGCTTTATTTCTTTCCTTCCTATTAAATATTTATAAAAGAAAAAAAAGTATATGTTGGTGATACTTTGGTATTTAGCACCTCACTATCAAAAGCTGGAGATGGCGGAAACTAAAGATATATAGAGAGAGATAATATTAGTGGTAAATATACACATACATATGCAAAATATATAGATATATATACATCGGTGCATACGCATACATGTATAGTTTTTGAATAAAAAAAATCCGAGAGGATAGAATCCAGGTAGAACTCAATGTCCAGGACAGAGTAAGGATATAATAAAAAGGCTTAAACACTAATATTCCATGGTCATAATTTATTCCATTGGAATCGTAAATATGATCCAATTCATCAGACCTACAAATTCAAAAAGAAAACAGAAAAGAACAACTCCGGAAATAAAAGTAGAATTTAGAGAGAGTGTAAGTATGAGAGTGTGAGACGAATGTTAGTGTTAAAGAGAGGGGTAATAGACGGAGAAGGTGGGAGACTAAAACTTAACAGAGAGGGTTTTTTCTAACTAGAGGTGAATCGAAGGGGGAAATATGAATGTTGTCGGATGTCTAATACATTAAAGATACATATCGTAGTGACATACACACACCATAGACGATTTAATGTTAAAGATCAGAATAGGAGGGAGGGAGAGAAAAGGAAAGAAGAGGTGGGGGAGAGAGATGGGGCGGGGGAAACTAAATAAAATGACCCCAAATCTTGCACACTGATTACGATGCTCAACGCCTTCCAAATGTGACGCCTTATGTCTTTGTGCGAATAGACAGCGATCAAATAACTTTACAGAAGAAAAGCCACCCCCCTTATGTAGACGCCAACAACGCTAAAAAGATGACCGTAGAAGGGACTTAAAGACGCTATGCATCAAACCAGACTCCTGTATTCTCCGGAAGTTGACATGGATGCAAGCAGTGCAGAAAGGCCTCTTCAGGTTCGATGTGATATTTTTGCCAAGTCAGATTTGATGAGATTTTTTTCCTGGTCAGCATTGAGAAAGAGAAGATATTTAATGGTCAGTCTTGAGAAGGAGAGGCACGTTTTTCTTTTACTGAGGTCAGCCTTGAGAATTAAGGAGGGTTTTTCCCCCGCTCAGCGTTGCGAAAGAGAGTGTAAGTTTTGTTTTCCAAGACAACCTTGCGAAAGATATGGGGAGGAGAGGCTTTCTCCCGTCACCCTTGCAATAGAGTTTGTTTTCCGCTCAGCCTTTCTTGGAAGAGTATGTACTTTTTTTTACAAGTAAGAGAAATAGACGTTTACCCGGTCAGAATTGCGGAAGAAAAGGAAGTTAATCAGTGTGTCCTGTGAATGGGTTGTCGACACAAACAGAGATTATTTATAAGATATACAAATATTGATTAAAAAGCTGTTTAAAAAATCACGAAGAAATTAAGACATTACTCAATTTTCAAATTATGCTGCTTCATTAACAACAAAATAAAAACAAAATATGAAAATAGCTAATAATATATTGACAGATTGATTATATTTTTCCTGTAAGTCTTAATGATGACGTCAGGATATAATGTGAAACATATCAATTTCATTGACGCTAGCAATAAATTTATTCCAATAAGGCGATCATTAATTAGTGAAAAGCTGACATTATCTTTATAATCTTCCAGAGAATGTAGCAAAATGAACTGAAATCTAATGCAAACGTTAGATACCTTCTCACGAGAGGATGCAGGAAAGTCTGACTAAACTCCGAAATTATATAGTATATTGTTGCTTGGCCCGAATAAGACGACGAAAACTATATATATATATATATATATATATATATATATATATATATATATATATATATATATATAATAGATAAATATCTTTATTTTTCGAGGGAATATTACAGATGTTAGGATTGCACACAGGAATTGATGAAGACAAATTTTCGGTGAACTTCTAGCTAGCCTCTTTCTGTCCAGATCAAGAATCGGACCGGTTATATAACATTTTGACACATACGCAACTTCACATAGCCACGCCTCTTCCGGCATGCACCGACGCAAGCACGCATTTCCTTCCGCTCAGGACACCTGTTCGTCTTGTTTATTTTAGCGACCGGATGCATTTCTTGTTTATGCTATCACCAGTTCCGATTTATGCTCACACACTGATGCCGCGGTATTATGTCCAAAGGTCTTTCCTCAACCGATATCAAACAATTACCCAACATGAGAAATCTTTAAAAAAAACTTCCTGGTTCGAGAATTAGTTAACGTTCCTTATTTCGATACACACACAGGATTTACATAATTCGGACCGATTCAAAAAAAAAATTAACATTTGATAACTTTGTTATTCATTAAGACCTTAATTCTGCGGTACCCACTCGTATCCGATCATCGGGATCGTTATCCTCTTTCCTTATTACCTTTCTCCTCTCTGCTGTCTGTGATAGAGACGGCTGTGAAGGTCCGGCATACTCCTGAAGAATCAGGAGCAGGAGTCACAGAGGCGTGTCGGTGGTGGGCGGGGCTGGGCGTGGCTGGGCGAGTCGGACTCTCCTAACAACACGTCGCAGATCCCCCTCATGCTGATGGTTGGACTTGAAAGCCTCGGTCCTCCTCGGATAATTTTACACCAGGAACGACGATGTGCAGCAACAATTTCCCAGATCTCAAGGTCGAAGTTGCCCCGTGTCACGAATGTTTGCAACTGATCCGTGTAGCGTAGAAGCCACTTCCCGCTGGCAAGTTCGCCGAACAGGAAGATACGTGGGGCTCGAGTAGAAAGTGTATGTATATATATATATATATATATATTCGTAACATAATTGTTCACAACACAAATATATCATCTATATGCAAAAAAAAGTCTAAAAATGATGGAAGCCTTATTAATAAAAACAACACTTAATAATATCAACTATGAACATGGACATAATATTTTTACCGTATTTTGAAAAAGGAAAACATTATATAAATACATACATGAAACAAATTATTTCTTATTTAACAGTTAACTTATTTCAACCATGATAATGAAACAAATTATTAATTATTTAATAGTTAAAATATTTCTTCCTTGAAAATAGCTAAATGTATAGCCGAAAGCGCTCGGATTAAAAGAACATTCGAATAGTTTTTATGTAATTTATCATCTGAAAAGTAAAAATAATTAGATCCCATGAGAAATTTTATAAAAACTAAATCAAAGCACCTTGTCTGTCGTATGCAATGAAACGTGCATGAAAGAAGGATTGCTGCCTAAATACACACACACACATATATATATATAACTGTTATATATATATATATATATATATATATAAATGTTATATAACTGTTATATATATAAACTGTTATATAACTGTTATATATATATATATATAACAGTTATATATATAACTGTTATATATATATAACTGTTATATATATATAACTGTTATATATATATAACTGTTATATATATTTTTGTTTTATATATATATATATAACTGTTATATATATATATATATAACAGTATATATATATATATAACTGTATATATATAACTGCTATATCTTTGTGTTCCCATCACGTTTGTTATTAAATATCCCACATTGTGATAATTTGTTGTTGTTTTTTTAGCATTTCACCCTCAAACAAGGCAGGAGTGCCACTGGCACCCAGGCGGTTAGAGAGAGTGAAAGTGAGAGAAAAGACTGGGTATAGGAGGAATTCAGGAAAAGATAAAATATAAACGGAGACCAAGGTAATAGAAGATGGCGATTGACGTTGCATTTTAATTTTTGAAAATTGTATTTGTCAGGTTAGCTTGGATAGAAACTTTTAACTTCGGCAAATTTCTTTCACAAGTTTTCACCTAACACGCAGCAATTAATTCGAGAGTAGCAGAAGCTCGTCGGTTGCTTAAAAGACATTCTCTATTGATTCACTTTAATAGAACACGCTCAAAGGAATAATTGTTGCTTGAATATATCATTTTCTACAAGAGCTAAAAGATTGAGACAGTAATTATTCCACCCAATTAAGGCGATAAATTCACTAAGACGCAATGTATTATGGAGTGTAAAAAATGTTATTCTGGGGAGAGAGGAAAAAATAACACAATTCAGAGACAGAAGTTGGTGATTAAGGTTGCATTTAAATTTTTTAACATTATACTTGACAGGAAAACAAGTAGCCAAAAAAGAGTTCCTAGTGCGAGAGAAGACATTGTTAGCATAAATCTTATGGTTACATATAGCAATTTCAATAGTAAATTGATGAGACCTAACTGCCAATCATGTATGACGTTTACATTCATGAATGGGAAAAGCTCATCAGAAAGATTCTCATGGAAATATTTAGAAAAACAGATTGAGGGAACCGATAACTTTGCAGATTCATCTGTATATTTTATCAAGATAGTTTTTACAATTCCACTTTCCATCAAACTTTCTTCCCTGTGCTTTTTCAGTGTTTCGTTTCCTATCTTAACTTTGGACGGAAATAAAGAAATTCTCTAGGTGGTAAAAAATTTCCTTCCAATCCGAAAGGTTTCATTATCCTTCGTTACCTCCGCACTTAGTGTTTCATTATGAATTAAATTACATAGCTGACATCGCTGAAGCTTTTGTTGGCAACCAATCTAGAAGAAGGAGAAATCAGAACCGTGTAGAGAGAAACTGAAACCCCAGCCATATACTCCCCAAGAATCATTATAGCAATAATCAGTTGGTAAATAATAGAATAAAAGAAAAGCAAATTTTGGAGAGCCATGATCGTCTGTCTGTGTAAGTGATACGACAGCTAGATTTTGTTAATGTCTTAAGAAAATGTCGGAACGCACAACTTGTGATATTCCGCCCCGCAGGAATGCTCATAAGTGCTTCAGCGAATAACAGTTCATTTGTAACTCGATGAGGCTGAAACTCTCGCCTCTTTCAGAATATTAGAAGCGACGGGAACTACTTGGATATCAACAGCAAGAGACTGATAATGTCCACTTGGCCGTATTCCGGTTGGAAACACGGATTACTTGCTTGTTGTCCCATATTTTGTTCGACGTGTATCACTCTAGGCAAAACCACGTTCTACGCATCTTCTCTATCTCTCGCTCGATCCTCGTTGTCTTACCCACTTTCCCACATATGTTAGCATTCCGTTTTTTATTATTTTCCATTGTCGTATCAGTGTATTCGCTGTTCCTCTCAGATTCTATCTTTCTGCATCTATTTTTAAATGCGGCAGGCGTCTAATTCGTTGAATGAAGCGTCTTCGTAATATATTTTTCTCTCTCTCTCTAGTTGTTCGTTCATAACATGAATTTCAACTACGTTTTCTGACATTATCCTCTCTCTCTCTCTCCCATACACAACACACACACACACACACACACACACACACACACACACACACACACACACATATATATATATATATATATATATATATATATAAGCAAGTGTAAATGGATATAAATCCATTAGAATGAAGAAATTTTGAAAAACAAACAAAAATCCTAAATGTAGTTAAAATGAAAGAAATGTGAGACGTCTGACGTTTCGGTTTAATAAACCTTTTCAATAAGACTTGTGCTTTTATGTCCATCGTATTTGTCATATTGAACTGAATTGTATTTTGATGAATATTGTCTTGAAAAAGGTTTATTAAACCGAAACGTCAGACGTCGACATTTCTTTCATTTTAACTACATTTAAGGATTTTTGTTTGTTTTTTCAAAATTTCTTCATATATATATATATATATATATATATATATATATATGTTTTATTTTTAATCCGATATTTCTATTGCTTCAAACGTTATTATACTTAGTACTCAAAATAGACGCCCAATAGTCCCTTCCAAAAATATTGGAACGGCAAGTACACTTTTTTGTTTTGTGCTAAGATGAATATGAGACAAAGAATTTCAGCTTTTATTTTCTAGTATTTACATTGAGATGCGTCTTAGGGTATATCACTTTTTGTTTGAACCTACCATTTTTCAAATGAGCAAAACTACTGGAACACATGACTGACAGGTGTTGCTTGTTTCCCAGGTGTTGACTTTTAGAAAGTTTACACATTAATTAGCTCTGAATGACTACTCTTGTTTTTAGCCTTGCGTTTCACATGTAAATACGACATTTCTTGTTAAAAAGGAACGGTTGACCGTAAATTGTTAAAAAAAAAAAAACAATTGATTTACAACCAGCAATTATAAAATTATCATTTGAACCAGTCAACATGTTAGCAAGGACTAATTTTCTTCAATGTATTATTTTATTTAAGAAAATGCTTCACTTTTACAATATCTGGCTGAATAAAATATCGACGCATTTCGTCCTTTTCCCCGCTCGTGCTTGTCATTCAAAATACACCCTTCTGCAGATTAATTGAAACGAAACGTATAATTCCGTTATTATTTGCTCTTTTTTCGAATTTTTCCAATGAAACATGACCCAGTGCACATTTTAGTTCTTCGTATGCCAATTCCAAGAAGTAGTCTCTTGTAGATTGACCAGTGATTCTCGATTGGATTTAAATCAGGGGAGTTTCTAGGCCACTCTGCTCACTGGTAAGGCTTGTCAGTGTGTTCGTGCAGCGTTACAATTTTCGTACGCTTCACTGAAGTAACGTCCATCGCAGACAGTTGCCGCAGGGCAACTAATCGACAGTCTTGACAATAGTCTCTGGGCGGGTTAAAAAAATCTGATGCAATCACGGATGACGCAATATTTTTCAAGGCCAAACAAATTTCGGCATACACTCCGAAAATAGATTCATATTACTGCACACCACTGCAAATGACCTAATCTGAGGAAAAAATAGAAATCGATTACACCCTGTAACTCCAGTGGGTCTCAAACTGACCGTTTGATAAAAGAAAGGAAACTAAAGCAGTTCTTTCAATTAATTTGCACAAGGGCCTATATAACTGTTTAGCATTCTTGTCTTGTCTTTGTAAAATTTCACATCTCTTAACATTTTATTTAAATTCTGGAAGATATCCTCCGCTATTCCAATAAGACTTTGGATTACTGTGTCGCATTTTCATTTACTACGCAACACAGATAAACATCGTCAGCTACTTGATTCTGATGTCTCCATGTCGCAGGCAATACATAGGCATCTATCTTTTGCTGCCTATTGTGTCTTCTTTTTGTTAATCTTATTATCACCAAATAATTTACATCATTACGTAACGATGATCTTATCTTTATATATTTCGTGTCACTTCATGGCGTGGCTGATCAGAGCTCCCCATAATCACCTATATTTTCTAGCTCTTGACATTGTCTTTCTATTATCTCTTGTACTCCATATTTTGTCATGTTATACAAGACTGTAAGTTAGGTTACTCGTTATTTCAATCTGTCCTTGTCAGCTATATCTCCTTTGATTGGGCTCCTCGGCGTGGTGTAATGGTTAACAAGCTTGTCTTCCTAGAACAATTATGACTGAGTAGTGAGTTCGATTCTCACTGGATGCCCCATACTTTCGGCCTTGTGCCACATCTAAGCTACGCTTGAAAAATCTCTATATCTCATGTGATTGTCATGTTTTTTAAGCCCTCTTTCCTTATTATGGTGACTTTTTTTAAGCTTAGCTTAGATGCAGCACAGTGTGGATCAAACTCACTACTCAGTCGTAATTCCTTATGTGTCCAAGAAAATAGATTCATATTACTGCAAATGACATAGTCTGAGGAAAAAATAGAAGTTGATTACATCCTGTCACTCCAGTCGGTCTGAAACTGACCGTATGGTGAAAGAAACGAAACTAAAGCGGTTGTTTCAATTAATTTGCACAAGGGTGTATGTCTGCTTCTATCTATCTGGGAAATGTCCGCCATGTTTTGGCATGCTCTTTTTCTGTATTTTTCTTCAGATTATCTCTTATTTTTGTTCTTTTTTGTGTCTAAATCTTCAAACTTTAAAACATTTTCTTCATCGAAGTTATTTTTTCAAAGTTAACACTAAAATTAGTTCTTTTTTAAGTCGATATTTTTTGTACCTTTATTTCTGCTGGGTATGATTGTTTCATCGTTTCGCTTTGTCTTCTTTTCGCGTATCTCTTTCGATTCTTTATTTGTGCTACCTTTATTCTTTTCCTGCTTTTTCAACATTCTATTTATTTTCTACTCTTTTTCCCGCTTTTTTCTTTGTTTTCAAATATATCACCTTTTCATATTACTTTTCATTTCCCTTTATTATTAAAACAGCTTCTCTTCATATTTCTTTTCTTTTTTATTAACTGTTGCGTTTTTTATTTGATTATTTTTATTACATTTAAAATCCCGATTTCTATCCTTCCTTATTTTGTTTATCTATTTTCCTTTTCATATTTTCATTGTTTCTGCGTTTTTCTCCTACCGAAATCGTTCTCTTTTCCGACAATCTTTTCATAAATTCTTCTATTTCTGTTTACATTGACCCTCTCACGTCACCTTTCTCCCAAGCCTTCTCTGCTTTCTCCCAAGCCTTCTCCCCTTTCTCCCAAGTCTTTTCTCCTTTCTCCCAAGCCTTCTTTCAATTCTCCTTTCTTTTCTTGCAGATCCTCTCTTTCTTTCAAGCCTTTTCTTCTTCCCCTTCTACTAAGCCTTCTTCTTCTTCCCCTTCTGCGAAGCCCTCTTCTTTTTCCCCTTCTGCTAAGCCTTCTTTTTCTTCCCCTTCTGCTAAGCCTTCTTCTTCCCTTTCTTTTTAGCATTCTTCATGCCTTTCTTTTAAGCCTACTTCTTCCCTTTCTTAGCCTTCCTCTTCTTCCCTTTCTATTTAGCCTTCCTCTTCATCACATTCTTTTTAGCCTTGCTCTTCTTCTTCCCTTCCTGCTAAGCCTTGCTCTTCTTCTTCCCTTTCTGCTAAGCTTTGCTCTTCTTCTTCGAATCCTCCTTATTCTTCGATATTTCTCGCTCATCGAGCAATATCCACGCATCAGTCGTTTGCCTCGGCATGGCTACCCGAACCGCAAAACCATTTGCAAGACATCACGAATACATAGCTCGCCTGACCCATCACTCACTCAACAATTCCAACCAATCCGAGATGTCTTTCTCTCTGCCGTGTTCGGATTTATTTGTTTTTTAGTCCAGAATTTCTTTTTTATCCGAATACAATAGATCTGTTGTCATTGTACCACTTCGCCTACTGCGTTTATTACTGCTGCAATGCGTTTCTTGAAACAGTTGCAGTAAGTGCCCACAAAACAAGCTGTTACTGTACAACACTCAACAACTTCCATTAGCTTTGGAGAATATCGAGGCTCTTCCTATCCAATCCCATTATGAAACTCCTCTCTATCTAATACAGTTTATATCTGGTTACCAAACGTATTCTGAAAATATCTATCTGCTAAAAAATTGCACTTATCTCACGGCAGAAATCTATGAAATTCTAGCTGGCCGACTGTACCCAAAACATCGTATCTATCGAGTTATGCACTATGTCTGCCTGTCTAGCGATTGGTTGTCTTGTGTGTGTCTGTCTGTGCAGCGGGTGGTTGTCTTGCGTGTGTCTGTCTGTGCAGTGGATGGTTGTCTTACGTGTGTCTGTCTGTGCAGCAGGTGTTTGTGTTGCGTGTGTCTATCTGTGCAGTTAGAGATATCATTCAAATGTAGAGTCAAGCGCCGTGAAAGTGAGTTTGTGGTGTTTGAATGATAACTCAAATATTTTTAGGCATTTAAAACAACATGCCTGGCCGCACACACAATCACGGAAAATCCTTGTTGAAAACACAACTATAATTAAACATGAAAATAATAAATGAAAACTAAAAATTCTTGAAGCTATATACATAAAACAGTTAAAGCCTAACCTGAACAAAATAAACTACGAAATCTCCACAAATATACTTAAATGCCTATAATTGATAACAGAAGCCATTGGTTTATACCAACTGCTTCCGATTCTTAATACTTTTCGTTTTCACTCTCGCGTGGTCATGTTTGATGTCACGAGCAGCGACGCGATTTATGCTTCCGCGTCTCGTATACACGAGTTATTCGTTGCTTTGATATTTTTCATGTAACAAAACAGATTATCATTATTGTTTCGTCCGTGTATTGGTTGATATATTGAAAAGTAATTGTCATCTTTGTTAATGGCTTGTGTAAACCGAAAGCTTAGATTGCATTTAAACATGTATCAATATGGTGATTTCCTTTTCGTCTTTCAATGATAATGTTATTAAGCTTACCAGACAATATGAAAGAAACTTATTTAAAATAAATAGACAAAATTTTCTATATTATTTAATGAAAATTACTGCCTAAATATATATATATATATATATATATATATATATATATATATCTTAACCTGTTCAAGTCGAGAATTAGCCTTTATCTTCCACACATATCCGCATAATTAAGGCCTTGTACAGGATGGACAGCGTTAGAAAAAGAGCCCTTCAGCCAGATCTTCTCTGTTGAAATTTCTGGAAATAATTAACTTATTCCTCGGCGTTTTCTTCCGATTCCAAGACACCGAATTGGCATGGAAAGTACTAAATGACTCTCGCACTCTTTCCAAGGCGTCAGCATCCTTGAGGAACTATTTTCTCTTTTAGCATTCAATTTTCAGGAATTTATACATCTCATGAAACAGCGAGTAGACATCATCCCCATCATGCTAAAGTATCAGCGGATAGAAGTTAAAATGACATCAAAATGTCTGTAGTTGGCATCAGCTTGCATTCGAGACATCTAAGTAACTGTGTAAGCACAAGTTAGTTTTATTAATTCCAATAATCTTAAACGTAAAGTTTTTAAAATATTTATTTAGATTCATACTAATGCACCCATCTTAGTTATTAGTATTATTTCCTTTGATTCCTGTTCTATACATATTTTCTTCCGGGTCCCATTCAGAGACCTAAGGTTAGTAATGGCTTCATGACATTTTCCAGTGATCATTTTTGCAAAATAAAATCGCACACATTTTACATAAAGATAAAGCTTTTCGTAATGTGTGAGCTTTACTTGTGAGTACAATTCTTTAAAGAATGTGCTACAGAAATCCTTTTAATTAGTCTATAGGAACCTTTTCCAATCAATCCCGGGGCTCCAAATACAATTGGAATTATTGATCTCCTCATGTGCCAGATTTGAGATTTCCATTTCAAGATCTTTGTATTTTGATAGTTTTGATTTTGATTTTTTTTAAGATCTTCAAAGATACATTATAATCTGCAGGATCTGCCATGTCAATAAGAAAGCCTATTCTGTTTTTTTTCGCCTCTGATCACTGTGTCTGAGCAATTCGCTTTGCCTGTTTTGCCTGCGTGTATTGTAAAGTCTCATGAAATTGTTACAGGTCCTAATTCTGTAACAGGGTTTGAGTAGTGTTCATACCAATTTCTTGCGATTTCCTTTCCGTAAACGTTGCTTATTTTTCTAGGGAAAATATTGTCCCATTCTGTCCCATTCTGACATACCGAAAATCATAATCATTTGGTGCTAATACTGTACGACCTGATACAAGATTGTCAGCTATTTCTAGGTATTTATCACAGTAATTTTGTCAACCACAATTCTTCATTATGTGTGCTTGGTAAATTCTAGTTAGTAAGTATTGGTCATGTACAGTAAGAACAAAACCTTACGTTTCAGCTTTTAACCCTGCACTACGTAGCGAGTGATTGGCATGGGGTTTATTTACATCAGCATGTTTGTTACGGTTAGAATATTGGCCATGAAGAGCCTCATCTTGCCATCGTTTCTATATCTGGGCCATTAAATTTTGCTTTTATTATCATCATTCCTCACTCTCGATTTGTAATAACACACAGATCGTTAATGATTGGCTTCACCAAATGGATCATGCATAATATTTTCTTATCCCAGAATTCCGTTTCTTATAAAGTTTACACTCACCACGCGCCCCACACACTCCTACTACAGGTTCTTTCCAAAAGCATCAACCCCACAATGACTCAGGTCGAATCCCGACATCATCTCACCGCAGACGTTGCCCTGATTCTCTATTTCACTTTACTTCGATCCTTTAATAAACACACAATTTCTATAAAGTATCATTCGCTGTTCCTCAGCGAAATGTATTTCTGCATTTCCCTTTGTGTCGTGTATCATGACATTGACAATATAATTAGTTCTGATGCCTCCAAATGTGTCACTCACATGGCGGGCTGTCCCTTTTGATAATAACAATTATAAAGGAAGTTTCTACAATACTAAATTATATATCATCATTCGTTATCATGTATTTTAATATAAATACCGAGGTGTAGATTATTCTTCTCCAGGCACCTTGTTTAGAAAAGGATAACGATCCTTACTGGCTTCAAAATAGATTCAGCCGTTATGCAAAATTATCGAAATATATGTTGTTCTGTAACAACTTTAACAGGAGACCATAATAATGTAGAAAATATAAAATTTATGAAATTGCCATGCCGGACATTTTAGTGATTTCGTGTTTATAACTCTATTCCATGTGACATACCGCTTCAGATTATGGACGAAAATGACTTTATGCCCTTTGGGTATCTCTTTTCTTAAAATTATCTCTCTTTATAACTATTCTGCCAAGCAATTACACAAGACCGTTGGCTAGGTTATTGGCTGGTACCTCTACACTGATTCAATATATGACACTTTTCCCAATATGTGTTTTAAATATTTCGGTTCTATCTTACTGTTTGATGTCATATTCAAACATAGATAATGCTGTAAGCTAGGAAAGGTTAATGAATAGAATAATCAAACGAAGGTTGGTAATGAACGATAATACTTAGGACAAGAACAACACATATAAGATTCGCTATTAGAAGTAATAGTTAACTGCTAGAAGTGAGTCAAGTGAATTCCACAATGAATTTCCAACTGCAGACCAACATACAGTATTTACTACTGTATTTATGTGAAAGGGGACATATCCGTTATCGTCCGTAGTTATGCTACCACAGATAAATAAAACACGCGTAAGCCATGAAGTGCTTATGCCCCATGTATCGTAAATAAATTAAGTTAATGTCTTTTTCAAACTTGTTTGATTAAATTAGTTATTGATATGTCCCGGGAAGGGATATATTTGTTCGAAGTAGCAAAGTGGTTGTTGACTACTGTAACCCGGTAGGACATTCTAGCAGGTAACCATAATGGAGTGGTTCTCGTCGTGGAGTGGTAGACAATAGGCGTAGGCAATAGGCGAATTCCATGTACCTCCACTTCAGCCTGTATTTATGGCTGACACCAGCCAATCATATTGCTGTGATGGGGAACCCAGGTGTATCCATATTCATTACATCGGTTATATACCTAATTTTACACACTGTAGCTTTTTTTATTGACCAACACAAATACAGCAAAGTGAATGTCGCTTTAGTTTGTCTGGATCAATTCTGATCCATATTGCTTATCAGTTATTGTGGCCTTAAATATTATTAATTGGTGCAAAGAAATAAACAACTTATGGCAAGTTTCCTATAAGAATGATGAAGAATAAATTCCGCATTCTGAAAGGAAAGATGCGAGAATGGTTGTCGGCAAGGAAAGATGCGAGAATGGTTGTCGGCAAGCAAAGATGCTAGAATGGTTGTCGGCAAGCAAAGATGCTAGAATGGTTGTCGGCAAGGAAAAATGCGAGAATGGTTGTCGGCAAGGAAAGATGCGAGAATGGTTGTCGGCAAGGAAAGGTGCGAGAATGGTTGTCGGCAAGGAAAGATGCTAGAATGGTTGTCGGCAAGCAAAGATGCGAGAATGGTTGTCGGCAAGCAAAGATGCGAGAATGGTTGTCGGCAAGGAAAGATGCGAGAATGGTTGTCGGCAAGCAAAGATGCGAGAATGGTTGTCGGCAAGCAAAGATGCGAGAATGGTTGTCGGCAAGGAAAGATGCGAGAATGGTTTTCGGCAAAGAAAGATGCGAGAATGGTTGTCGGCAAGGAAGGATGTGAGAATGGTTGTTGGCAATTACATCAAGCTACAGAAAAGTAAGTTGAGAATTGTACCCAACATTTTAACGACTTTACAAGCACGCAAATCAGTGATAAATATAGAGAAATAATATATAGAAATATATTAATTGAGTATGCAAGGTCAATTTTCGTGTATCCTTTAAACATGGTTATTAATGTATTCTCCATATTCCACATTTTTCTGTT